ACAGCTTATTATTACGGCTGTGTTTTATCGTGTGTGTGTCTGTCTGCATGCACGCATATGCATATGAATAAAGCACATAGCTTCCATAAGCATCCCCGTCCTTGTCTCCTGGTATACCTGTGCCACAGTTCTCTAGGACCCCAACAGTGGAACTTTGTGCGCATGTTCAACTTTTCCAAAATGGCCCCACCATTCAGCCCTCCCACATGCGGCAGGTGAGAGGCCCACTGCTCCAGAGCACACCAGTCAGGGCAACTAACAATGCCTCTGTCTGAAAGTGTCCCCTGTCTGATGCTGCCCAGCTCCCTCAGCTTCCTTTCGTTGATTCTGAGCTTGATAGAGCTTTTCCAATCCCTTTACTTTCAATCTTTCTGTTTGGGTTTAGTTTTTTTTAAATGGCATCAGATTCAGTTAAAAATACAAAAGCGGCCTAGGACATTAATTGTAATTAATGCTATATTTGGATTCATTTACTTGTCCTTTTTCTCTTTTTGCCTTCTTTTAGATAATTTTTTTTCTTTCTCATTCTATTTTGTTTCTCAACTACTTTCGAAGTGGTGCACTGTTCTATTCTTGCAGGGTCACCCTAGAACGCCTGCCTGCCAGTGTACCAGAGTCTTAATCAGATGGAGTCTTTTCTTTCTTCCTGAGTGAGCTCCGTAGAGACTGCAATTCCAATCACTTCTCACTTGAGACCCACTGTTGCTGTCACGTATTCTAAGTAGCCCTTGTTATACTTCTACTCCACAAAACACTTTCGTTTGATGAGGCCAATGTCTATTAAATCTACCCTTTCTTTCTCTCACTCCTTCTTATACCTCAGATTTTCCTTCTGGGATCGTGTCCCTTCAGTCTGAAGTCATCCTTTAGAATTCTTTTTTAAGGAGAATGCCTATTTATTTCATTTTTTACAAACAGCTTTATTGAGATATAATATACAACTCAATGGCTTTTAGCATATTCGCAGATTTGTGCAACCACTACCACAATCCATTTTAGAATATTTTTCATTACCCCAAAATAGATTTTCTTTTAGTGTGAGTCTGCAGGTGACAAATCGCTGGTTTGTTTGTCTAAAAATATCTTGTATTTGTAAGATATTTTCTCTGGGTATAGAATTTTAAGTTGACAATTTCCTTTTGTCCAGTTAACACTGACACCAGAAGGTGGCTTTCCAGTTAACATCAGCTGTGGTTGAGACATCTGCTGTCATCCTGCTCCTTGAAAATATATCTTTTCTAATTTTAACATCTTTTCTTGGTCTTTTTGTTCTGCCAGTTTATTACAATGTGTCTATGTATGTAGTGGTTTTAAAATACGTACCCAAATTCTTAGATAGACCTCCCTTCCAGGGGTGGAATCTAATTTTTCTCCCTTTGAGTGTGGGCTGGACAGAGTGACTTGCTTCTAACGAATAGAATGTGGCAGAATATCACTTCCAGGACCAGGTCATAAAAGGCCCTAAAGCTTCCTCCTGCTTTCTCTCTCAGATTGCTTGCTCTGGGGAGAGCCAGCCGCCATGGCATGCAAACACTCAAGCAAGCCTTACGGACAGGCGCACGTGGCAAGGACTTGTGTGTGCACTATGCTTCTATAAGCATTCCTGTGAGCCCCGGGAGTGGAAGCTGTTCTGGAAGCAGATCCTCCAGCCCCAGTCAGGCCTTCAGATGACTGCTGTCCTGGAGGACATCTTGACTGCAACCTCAAAGAGACCCCACGCTACAACTACCCAGCTAAGTCACTCCTGAATTCCTAACCCACAGGAACTGTCAGATAATAAAAATTTGTTGTTTTAAGCCATTGAGTTTGGGATAATTTGTATGCAGCAATTGATGATTAATACAAGATGTGAAAAAATTTTAAGCAAACTTGCTTACTGAGCTGTAATAAACATATAAAAAGTACACAAATCATATGTGCAGCTCAATGAATATTCATAAAGTGAACTGATCTATTCATCACCACCCATATCAAGAGATAGAACATTTGAGTGCAGACTTCTTTTTGTTGCCCTGCTTGAGATTTGTTGACCTCCTTGAATCTGTGGATTAGTGATTTTGAAAAGTTCACAGTGCTTAAAAAAAATATTACTTCTGCCCCATTTTTGTCGTTTTTTTTTCCTGGAACTCCAATCATATGTATCTTGGATATTCTCACTCTATCATCTCTCAGTCTGTAGTTTTACATTATCGATCTGTTTATCTTGCTGGGCTGCTTTCTGGATAACCTCTTCAGATCTAGCTTCCCATTCACAAATTGTCTCTTTAGCTCTGTCTAATTTATAGATACAAGGTTTTTAATTGCTATAATAATTTTTATTTCCAGAACATCCCTTTGCTTCTTTTGCAAATCTATTTCTGTTTTCAAGCCTCACTTTTAGTTCCTACATCATTTTTAAACATTTAAATGATCTGACTGATAATTCTATGTCTGAAGTCTTTGCAAGTCTATCATGCTCTTTTTGATGCCCTCTGCTCTGGGTGCTTTGTTGCCTAGTATATCTGGTGAACTTCTGTGTAAGCTGTAATTTTTCTTTGAAATTTATTGGTGGGGATTCTTTGAGGATGGATAAAGGTTCATTCAGGTAGGATCGGCACTTCCTTCTACTAAGTGTCTGAGACCCCCACATTCTGGGACCACTTTAAATTCTTGGCTTGAGGTTTCTCACGTGCCAACCCACATGAGGGCTGGCTCAGTTCTCAAGAGAGACTTTTTTCACTCCAGTAAGTGGCAAGGTTCAATTTTCCTCTGGGATGCTGAGAGAGCCGAATTTATTATTAGTTCACAGAGGGTGCTGCCCTTTAGGGCCCCAGCTTTATGGAGCACTCTCCTACTAGGCCCCTTATTATGTTACAGGTATTGGGTTGTCTTGGCCCCCGGCACTGAGAGCCCCAAAAACCAATGCTCAATTTCACCTGGTTTGTCAAATACCTTCAACACATTCTGCTGCTTCTCTCACCTTTTTGCCTGAGGATTCATTATTTTCCTGCCAGCTCATTGGTGAATTTAAAAAGTACTTGTTGTCATTATTTATTTACCTAGTATTTTTAGCTGTTTGCAAAGGGAGGGTCAGTTCAGGCAACTATTCCACCACAATGCCAGAAACAGAAGTGGTCAGCCACTCCTTCTTCAAGTACCTTCTTTCTCCGATTTTCTTTTCCCGAATTCCTGTCAGCTAAAGGACATCTGTCAGCATGTTAAAGTTCTCAGTCTACCCTCTCTCTCTCCTTTTTTCTCTCTCTCTGCCACCTTTTGGATCTTCAGCTGTAACTTCCAATTTATTAATCCCTTTTTTGACTGTAAGTTATTATTTAGCTCTTCTAGTGAGTTTCTTATTTTAATAAACATGCTTTATTTCCAAGATTTCTAATCAGTTCTTTCTTATATCTAATACCTGTTCTTGAGTTATGGGAGTCAGTCCCTCTTTTCTCTCTCTGATGATAAAACCAATGCTCATTTTAAAGCCTGTTCGGACGTTCCTGTTTCAGTTTCCTTGGGCATAAATTCTCCCAATTATGGTTGCAGGCCATTCTTTAAGGCATTGGATTTTCTTACATATTTTGTAATTTTTGTTTGAGCGCCCATCATGCATAATAGTTTTTGGTTTTCTCTCTCCCCATAGGGCAGTTTTTCTGCAGGGCGCACAGGGTTGTAAATGCAGAAGCAAACCTTTCATTAGCCCTCTGGGCTCTCACGCTGTGGGGATACCCTTACTCTAGTCCCAGCGCTGGTGCTCAGTGGGAGCCTAGTTCCTAGTCACCAGGCGTCTGAGCCTACACTGCCACAGACAAGCACCCTGCTTCCAAGTGCAATCCCGGGAGGTGGGGGCGAGGGGTGGTGCTTTCACCCTTTATTCCTAGGAAAAGAAGCCCAGTTCCAGACCCCGGCTATGCAGAGGGAGCCTGGCTCCAGTCCTGACACCTGTGGGCATGTCTGATCCCTGGCCCTGTGGGATTCAGAGTCCTAGCCTTGTCCCATTGCTCAGCATAGCAGCCAGCCACCTACCACTTCAGCCCTCATAACTGTAAGTTTCTGCTCCTTTTTCACACAAGAATTACCTTCTTAGAGTAGTTGCATAATTTTAACCTAAAGCATTTACTTTATTGAATGAGTGTGCTGGCCCCTGTGTGCAAAGACTCACTCCACCTCTATGGCCCGAGTCCTCCGCACTGTCCACCAGAGCCGGGCCATTGTGTTCCTGGAAGTCAGCACAGAGGAAAAAACACTGGGATGACTCAGGGGCAGGAGGCTCAAGGGGAAACCCTGAAGGAAACTCAAGAGTGTTATCATTCTGGAGGAGATGAAATTCTAGTCGGCCACAGGTACCTGGAGTCAGAGTTGTGGCCAGCCAGTTGCTCTGGAGAGTCAGCTCCACAAAGGAGGCTCATGGTCCCAAAGCCAGATCATGGGGGCCCAGGGTCCAAGACGACACCCGAAACTCAGCTTACAATACCCTAGTCTGTAGCAGAATGGGCCACCCTCCCCAACACAGGCACCTTGCCCTAGAGAAGCCATAGTCTAGGCCTGACTGGTGAAGTAGGGAGAGGGGCTGCCTGGGGCTGGGCAGAGGGGGAAAGAACAGTGCCAGGGGCCTCAGATCTGGAGCAGCCCAGAGTTGAGGCTGTCCAGGGCACAACTCACCCACTTCATGGGCCCAATCTCTTCCTTCTCTCTCTCACACTCTGAGGGGGTCCACAGAGGACCAGGGTGGGAGCCTCTCCAGGCTGTCCCACAGACTACCACAAGGCCTAGGCCTGTGAGAGGTCTTAAGAATCCTCTCAGACCCTGTCTCTGCCACCCCAGAGTTTGAGACGACCACTACTAACAAAGGACTGGGTCAGGACCTGGGCCCAGAAGGTCAGGCCTGGGCCTTCCCCACCCCTCCAGCCTCAACCTGCTCTACCCAACACAGGGCCTTACTCGTATTAAGCACCACTTCTGCAACTGCCCTGTCTTGGGGCCCAACCCCACAGCACCCCAAGGACCCAGGAAATATTTGATAGGTTTCTACCACACACAGGGGTCTGCTTGTTTCTATTTCCAGAGACAAAAAAAAAGTTCAAAACACATGCATATGTGCAGACACAGCAAGCCCACAGAGTTGCTGCTGGCTCTGTCCCCACTCAGGGTGGTGGGGACCACTCAGGAGACAAGGAGCTGACCTCATCCCATGGGGGTGGGGGGATTTCAGACTGATGGGGCAGGGAGTCACTGCTCTGAAGCCAAACTAGAAGCGATCGCAAGCCCAGCCCCCACCCTTGCCCAAGACCATTGTCTTATAGGACAGGTCTGACAGGCAGGTGAGGGGACAGGGCATGCCTCAGTCGGAGTCACAGGCCTCTTGTTCGGTGTTGGCATCCACTGCAGAGGCCAGGCTGTCTTCCTGGCCTTTCAGTCTCTCACCTGGATAGATGGCAGACAGGAAGGGTGGAGGGGGGCCCTGTGCTTGGGCCACCACCCAGAGGGCAGGGATCTCGCCTTGCCGGGCCCTGCACTTACGGATCAGCTCGGCAATGGCTCTCTGGGTCCGCTTTTCTAACTTCTCCAGCTTCTTGGCTACATCTCTCTTGAGGTCCCTGGAGCAGAGAGGTGGGAAGAGGCCAGAGGCTGACGGCTGGCCTGGTGTGGCCTTGGGGCCCTCCCCTCCCACAGCCCCTCTGGCATTATGAATCACATTGAATTGTCTGAGGAGACTGTCCTGGGGAGGAGGCAGGATGCTCCTCTCTCCCCCTTTCTGCATCCTCCAAAACCCAGCATCGGCCATCCTTCCTAGTCCCAGTGAGGCAGGGACTGTACCACAGACCCACCCAACACAGGGGACTGAGTCAAGGTGTGCAAGGGTAAATGGTTTCTCAGGGGTCCTCTCTTAGTCTGGTCCCCTCAGTCACCATCAGGGAGTGACTTGCCCCAGCCCACTGTGGGTCCTCCTCTTCTCCAGCCACATGTTCTCCCTCACCACCAGGAGCTTCCAGAAGTGTACTCACTCTCAGCCTATTCTCCTTGGCTCTGGGTTTCCTAGGACATATGCCCCATGCTTCTGTTTTATCAAATTAGAACACTTCCAGCTGGTGCTGTATTTGACATAGAATTGCAGGCGAGAGGGATATGGTCCGTATCTCTGGCCCAGAGTAAAGCAGAACCTGAGCCCCCAGGCCACATGGCCCTCTCTCACCTTCTTTCTCAGCTCAGTCACAGGGAAACCGGGGAAGGATGAGCATCCCCATTCCACAGAAGAGGGAACTGAGGTCAAACAGGAACAGGCTAGTTGGTGGGCAGAACTGGGACAGAAACTTACGTCTGCCCTTCCCACCATCTCGCTTCCACCCTGCAGCCCCAGAGGGCAAAGGTCGGCCTTGCTCAAATGGAGCTCTCTGAGGTGGGGTGGGTCCTCACCCTTTCAGAAGGGACTTCTTGAGGGGACTGCTGCTCCCCCCTGCTCCTCCCCATCTGAGCCCCTCCCCACCTTCCAGGTGTCATCCCCCATCATTTCTCTCTCATTCTCTATTTATGTCCTTCTCAACAGTGATTTTGGACAGTAATTATCTCACGTAGCTATATGTCTATACTCTCCATCTCCCTGCTGTGAGGGTGGGAAAGGCCCAGCCTGAGGCCTGTGCCTGGCACCAAGAGCGCCCCAATCAGTCTGCACTAGTTCTACACAGGCAATACTCACCAATCAGGCTTCCGGGGTGCAAGGTTAGCCAGGTCCTAGGGAGGGAGGAGACACATGTCAGGGCTGGAGGGGCCTAGCCCCAAGGGAAGTAGGAAGACAGGAGACAGAGGTAGGAAGATGACAGAAAAGGGAGGAGGAAGGAGGGGGTGAGGGGAAGTAGGCAGGTGGAAAGGGAAGAAGTGAAGGGAAGGAAAGGGGAGAGAAGTGAGAGGACAGCAGGTGGGGAAGGAGAGAAGCAGCGAGGGAGAGTGAACGGGGCCATCCACAGGCACTCACCACTTCCTCAATGACAGGCTCTGGCTTAGCGGCCTCCAGCTGCTCCTTGACCTTCTCTTCCACTAGAGGGTGCAAGACAACAACTTCAGAGGCCGGTCAGAAGGGAGCTGCCACTCTGCAGCGACACTGCAGTATGAGACTGCATACCGCGGCCGCCAGAGCGGGGAAGAGGATGCAGGCAGGTCCCCAGGGAGACCCTGGGCTTTCTTGCCCCCATCTCTCCCCTTGGCCCCCAACCAGCCAGAGGCAAAGACCCTGCAAAGGCAGCCCAGGAGGAAGGGCTGGGGTTTCCCAGGATGAAGGCAATCCTGGGGTGAAGGAGGGCCAGTAGGAGGCAGCTAGCTGGAGTGGACGGAGCCTAGACCTCCAGTCAGGAAGCATGGCGCTACTCGCAGGCCGTCTCCCCAGCTGTGAAACGAGAGAGCTGCCTGGGTATATCCAAAGTGTGGTTTTGTGAAGGGCCTTGAGGGCTGGATTTTCCCATAACCTCCAGGGGCTCCTGGGGTCTGAGGACATCCTCTGGGTCCCGGACTGGCCAGGGCACAGGTGGCTTTTCTCCCCATCTCACTCTTAGATGTGTGCTCCCTAGAACAAGAGGACGGCCACTTTGAGGAGGCCTGCCCTCACAGCCCTCCTGGCTCCACCCAGCTGCTGACAGCACAACGGGCCTCTGGGGAGTCTGACCAGGAGTGCCTTGCCTCTGTGAGGACAGATTTGAGCACTAACAACAAATCTGGGCTCCATGGGCTTCCTCTAACCCCCCTCACAGTTGCCCCACGTTCCCTTATGGCCCCCCTGCCCCGCCTCACTTCCCTCCAGCCACAGGTGCTGACCCTGAGGCACAGAACCAGCTCTGCGCCCCTCTCTTCTGTTCTGCCTTACTGCTCCCCCACGTGCCACTGTTCCCACCACAGTGGGGCCCAAAACATGAAGCAAATCACCTGGGAAGTGTGTGAATCTCAGGGGCAAAGGAAATGGGGAGGCAGACTGGGGTGTGGCTGAATGGGTAATGCTTTACTCTTTTACAAGATAAATGTATTTATTCATTTATTACTCATATAATTAAAAATTGATAACAAAAACAGATAAAAACAGGGCCAGGGATTTGCGTGATAAGAAGCACCCTGGCATTTCCGGTGTGGATAGCTGTGGACAGGCCACAGCTGGCCAGATGCTCCTGGCTGCTGTGCTGCTCCCCATGCCATGGTGAGAGTAGGCAGCCCCTGGGCAGGCCCCTCACCCCACCGGCGAGAACGCTTCTCCCCATCCGCTCTGCTCTGGCACTGCCACACCTTGAGCCCGGCGAGCATCTGCCCGCCCACTGCTCTCTGAGCACCTGAATGGTTGGCCCCTCTTCAGGGTCTCTCACTCTGACCCTCCAAGGTCTGCAGGACCCATCTCACCCTGCCCCTGCTGTCCAAGGCTCCGGGCCACTTCCACTTCTCAACCCAGAGAGGTCCTCTGAGGGGATGTGGCCTCTTCCCTCGCAGGTCCCTGGGAGGCCTCCAAGTCAGTGTGTGAGCAGGGCAGAGCAGGCACAGCAGGCCTCTGCAGTCCGTGACTGCCTCTCTGCTGTCACTCAACTTGTGCATTTGCCGTGAGATGGTGACAGAGGGTTCTGGAGGCCCAACTTCTAGCCCTGCACCGCTGGTTATTCCCAAAAGATGGTAACACCAGCCAAGGTGGAGGCAACTGACAGTGCCACGGAGCAGAAGGGGAGAGAGGCAGCCACCTACCTGCGACTGGTTTGGCCTGGGGCACCCTCCTCCTCTTCAGGTCTTCATCCTCTGGGACATAGTTCCGCAGCCTGAGTTCCCTGCGAGAGCAGAGAGAACAAGCAGAAATGGAGTAGTGTGTGACACAGTCTCATTCACCTCACACACTTGCAAGTCAGATTGTGATGAAGCCACACAAGCTGGTTACTTCCTGACTTTTGTCTGGTCTCTCTGGAGATGGCCTGGTGAAGAGGGAAAACACGGGAACAGAAGCGTCATTGGGACAGGCCCCCCTGTCTGAGCCTCAGCCCCCTCATCTGCCAATTAGCAGCCAGGCTGGCTGCTCTCCCAAAGCCCTGCCTGCACTGGAGGTTCTCATCCAGAGCTGGGGTCAGGGATCTCCGGGAGCATCCACTGGATGCCTCTCCTGGATTATCTCCATTTAACAGTTAAGGGAACTGAGGGTCAGAGACTGCATCATTTTCGTAAGGTCACACAGAAGTGACTGCAGCATCTGAGACCAAGGCAAGGTATGACTCCAAGCCAGGCCAGAGCTTCTGAGCTGAGCTACTCCTAAAGAGAAAGCCAGCACTCACCCACTGGTTCCTCAAGCCCAGCCTCCTTCTCAGAGCCTTTGTGCCTGGAGCCACTGGTACACAGTCCCTCAACGACTGATGGCAAAGGTCTGGGTATGCTGGGAGTGGCTGGCAAGGGCTGAGGGACGGGCATGACAGTGTGCAAGGCTGGGAAAGCCACGGTCTACCTGGACAGTCATGAGAACTGCAGAGGCCCCACCCGTGCAAGAGGTCTTTCAAATGCTACCAGGCAGACCCCAAGAGCTCTGAGAAGGGGGAGGAGCCACGAGGGACCAGAATCACACAGTGCGACAGGCCAGAAACAGTGGTGCTATTCTCTTCTGACCTCAGTCTCCTCAAGCACGGCTGGCGGCACCACACACTCACTGGGGGCCTCCCCAGCTCAGCAGCTCATCAAACCCCGACCCACACACATAGAAGCCTGTCCGCATGAGGGGGGGCCCTTGACTAACTCCACAGGTAGCAAGGGGAGAGTTCCTGGGGGCTGCTGCTTAACAAAGGCAAGACAGAGACACTGGGACAGAACATCTAAGCCCTGGGGGGTGGAAGTGCCCCCACCAAGTGAGCCAGGCAAGACTGGGACATGGGTCCTCCTCTTTCCCCACTACCTCTTCTGAGCCCTTTCAATGACTGCTGGCCCCTCAGTAGTCCTAGGCCTACAGGACAGGGGACATTTTCCCAGCAGGAGGCCTCCTACAGTCTGTCATCTACTGAACCCTCTGTCTGAGCCAGGCAAAAACATTGCTGACTTCCCCAGCCCCTGGCAGGCAAGCTTTTCCAGAGTTAAGGCGGCAGGTGTCTGTGGCCACGCAGCTAGCAAGTGGCAGTGGTCTGAACTTGGGGGCTTTCTGATGCCTAACCAGTCCCCTATTCACCAGCTCCACCTGCCCCCTTTCTCTCTGCCAGGGCCCCTGAGGCCCACAGCCCTGGAGCTAGGCTAAACTTTTGTGCCCAGGGGGCAGTACCAGTACAGCCTGTATGGAGGAATCCTGCCACCCACTCCTAGGGTCTGCTTCCTCTAGGGAGCAGGGACACCTACCCCATCCCCATCTCCTAATGCCTGCCTCAGGCCTGGTGGTAAATGTCAGGTCTCACTGGGAGAGAAAGTGGGGCACGATCTGGTACACTGACTTTCGTTCATAACAGGGTGGGGAGAAAAGCGGAAGAGAAACTGGGTGTGGGAAGAAAACTGCAGGGATTAGTGAGAAAAAAAACTGTCACTCTCAGAAACTGGTTCCAGGGTTCTGTGAGAAATCAGTAGGAGAGAGGAGAGTCTGGGGAACTGTACCCAGAGCTCACAGCAACAGCAACGAGGCCATACACCTCCAGCCCACCACTGCCCAGGCTTCAGAAGGCCAGTTGGAAGGAGGAAGGACACAACAGGGGGACTGAGAAAGGCAGGAAGGACAGGAAAGAGCAGCATGGGCTGGTGGGCTGGCCGTATAGCACTTCTGCCCCCACCCTCCAACCCCCGCAGCCAGGCCATTCACAGTCCCCTGCTCCCCTCTAGAGCTGAGCACTGATCAAGCAGTCTTGAACACTGGGTCCCAGTCACCGTGGGACTGTCCCATTCTGGGCCTCTGTTTCCACATCTGTAAACAAGGATGGGGCCAGCTCTGTCAAACTAAGTTCAAGCCCTCCCCTGGTTCACTCTGTGAGAGCTAATGAAGAGAGTGCTTCTCACTAACGCCCAATTAACTGCCCCTCCCACCCCACCTCACCCCACCCCTATCACCACCAAAAGGCAAGAGTCTCTGGGAGAGGTCAGGGGCACTGGGTTCTGCTAGGGTGGCCCGGCCTTTCCAACACAGGACCAAACAACTGAAAGAAAAAATCTCCAAATAATGACAGTAATTTTCTAAGAGTATTTTTACTTGCTTCTTTGATTTTCTGCAGTTTCTACGATTTCTAATGTAATCAATATTCTTCCTACACAGAAACGACCAAACAATTAGACAAAAGGAAACAAAAAAAGAGGAAACAGGCAGAAGGGACAAAAGTGAGGCTGACCTCCAGGAGCAGGGGGGGACTGTGGTGGGCTCAGCACCAGGAAGCCCTCTGCACCTGAGTGCCAGTGGCCCCCAGTCTCTGTGGCCTCGGGCCAAGCTGTCCCCCTGGCCAAAGAGAAGCGGAGACCAAGCCATGCTTTGGGGGCTTTGGGCAGAAGGGTAGCACAGTGATCCCAGTGACTTCTAGGACCCTGCCCTTTGCACCAAATGCCCTGGACCACCCACAGTCCCCTCCATGTGGGCAGCCATCTCACAGGAGCAGACACAGCAGCCACCTGGGCACCTCCACTCTCACTCTTTCTAATCCAGGGCCTTCAGTGTCCCCCAAACAAGTCTAAACTTCTTAACACCATCCTGGCCTCATTCCTCATTGGTCCCCACAGCCCACAATCAGATGTTCCCGGGGTCACTGCCAGCCCTGCCTGCTACATACTTTTCTGCCCATCAGACTTCAAGAGCTAGCTCAGCAAGGTAGCACTGTGGGCAGCCCCTCCCCTTCCCCAAATGTCCCCACCCACACCGGATACAGCTGACTACTCCTCTCCGGTGCTCCCTCTTTGCCCCACTTGCCCCTCTACTCTCTACCCAGGAGCCATCACATCCCACGCATGTGGCCCCTTCATGGCTGTATGTCTGTCCTGCATGCCCTGCCATACAAGCTCCTAGAGACCCAGCTCCAGCACTTAGCACCCAGCAGCTCCAGGAAGGGCTGGGTACATACTTGCCTCTGGCTGGATACAGGCATTCAGAAAGGGCACTTGGGAGAGCATTACGGGTAGCCTGGGGCTCTCTGGGCCTTCTAATGCTTGAGAAGACGACACAGGAAGCAAAGAAGCTGTGCCCAGAAGATGCAAATAAGGCAGGAACGTGGCTGGATCAGAGGAGCCAACTCCTAAGCGAATTCCATTGTCTTTATGGCAAAGCAACAGGGCGATGCCCAAGTTCACAGCCTACTAAGTCTCCTTCTTAAACTGGGGAAACGTCCTTTTCCATTCCCTCTCCTCCACTTCCTCCCCAGGTGTCTGGGGAGACCTGTCAAGTGCCTGAGCAGGTATGGTGATCACTGTGAGGTTCCTCAAGGCCAGCTGCAGGGACCCCAGGTGTGGGCTACTCAGGGAGATTCCTGGGAATCATCCCTTGGGGTTGTTTTTCCACACCCTCCATATGTGCCATTCAGGGGAAAGGGGTAGAGAAAGTTGGTGTTCTCTGTAAAATATAAAACCCAGGAGTAGAGTTCTAGAATATCCAAGTGAAAAGAAGCTTCCAGATTATCTGGTCCAACCCCTTCACTGGCAAACAGGTCTCAGAGAAAATCTACACTGCTCATGGAGGTTTCCTAGCCCCTGGCCCACTTCACCCACTCATTCTTTACCCCTTGGGACATCAGCCTCTCTTCTCACCTCATAGATCTTGGGGTCACTCCACACTCTGCCCTGGACCCCTGGAGAGAAGCCAGAATGGGGCATTTCACATCGCCTGCTCCCTGAGAACAAGGTCCACCCTACCTGGCTACCTCGGTCCCTCCTTCCCATACAGGCCCCCTCAGGGACCAGAGAGAGAGCTGTCATGGAGCCCTCCTCATAGTAACAGACCACAGGGAAAGCCAAGCCCAGGATGGGCCTGCAAGGCTCCTGGAGGCCAGCACTGGCTGGAGATATGAGCACCTCTGATCACAGGGGGCTTTTAGTTTTAGTTTTCAGAGTACAGAGACTCAGGAGCTCTTCCAGGAAAACATTCACACACAGCTAATAACGTTCCATTTGCTTTAGGCTCTGCACATGGACACTCACCCTCATGCCCACAACATAAATAACACGGCCTTGTTTGTTGCTGCCAGAGGCCAGACCCTAGAGACCCATGAAAATGAGGTGAGAGGCAACTATCCCAAACGGTGTGCACAACTGCTCCAGAGGCTGTCTGGTCATTTCCTTCAAGATCCAGTAAAATGTTCAAACCCCATGACCTGATAATCCTGCTCTGGGGAAATTATTCCATAGAAATAGTAACACAACAGGGACAAGCAAAACAAAACGTTCTATGTATAAATGTTTCTGGATAATTTGTAACAGCCATGGGGCAGACACCTCCGGGTTCTCTTCTGGCAGAGTCCCCTAGAGTACGCTGCTACGAGCACCCTTCCAGAGGACCGCCAAGATCAGGGGGCGGGTGGGGGGGGGTGGCCTCAGGACAGTGCAATCAGAACACCTGGAAAATTCATTATAGGTGAAGTACAAGACCAGGGCGGAACACGGATACTGGAACTAGATGGGCCATGGAGGGATGTTTTTGTTGGGTGGTTGTTCAACAGTTGAATTTAGGACACTTTATGGTTGGCTTAACAGCAAATGAAACTTTTAGAGAGCTCAGCACCTTCCCCAGCTATCCCCTAGAAGGACAACTCTGGCCTCACTCTGGGGCCGAGGTACAGATATAGGACAATAAAAGCTCCCTCTCCTTTGATCCAGGCAGCTCCACTTCTACCCTGCCAACCCACCC